TTCACATTTTCTCGACATAGAATTACGAAAATGTGGTTAGAAAGTAATTTGTAGGGAATCACTCCGCATTGATTTAACTACCGAGGGCAACACCCTAACGATTTTGCTGCCTACAGCCCCACACACATCAGAAATTTGAATAAATACAAATAAACCTTCCAAAATTTTTTGCCCGTCAAAAATTCGTTGTACAGTTCGTTACTATTTATATATCCGGAATGATCAAGGCCGATGGCTTTTCGACCTTATCCTATCCCCCGAAAAAGATGAAGTATTAATTGACTCCTCTGGCATGTGCCAAATATTTTTACTTCCTTTGCAAACATTCGCGTTCCTATTTTTAGGTTTATGCTACAAATATGTAAAAATATGCGCCAGAGGCTCACAATGAAATCTTGGAAGTTCACACGACGGGCAACGTATTGGAGTTCAGCACCCCGTTTAATATTTAGTAGTTAACGCAATGATATACGGGAACGGGAAGTGATTATTTTAACTCAGTGGTCGAGTTGAATTGATTCCACTGCCTTAATTCGTTTGAATGAACCTTTGTGTTTAAGCACAACGGAAAATAACCATTGAGCACCTGGTTTACAATTAGAAGGGATTTATTCGCTTCTAAACTACCCCACCTACTTACATGTAAATTGAGCTCTCGTGTCTTCCAAATTATCGTGTAGTCAATCTTTTCGAACACCCTGCTATAGCTACAATGATGGATTATTTACGATTTCAGTGGTTCTTCCATCATTTAATCTTAAAAAACCACATGGAATTTTTATTTTCAAACAAGGGAGGGAATATGTAGATCTGTAGTACCAGGCGTACAGCCTCCTCCAGGCAAAATATCCATCGACGTCTGAAAATGACGAACGAAGGCACGACCTCGACCGGGAACACAGACGACTTTCGCCTGGAGATAGATACATCGCGTCCAAATGAAGCTACCACCATTCTGGCCAACCGACCCCGAAATGTGGTTAGAAGTAGAAGCCAAACGCCAGCGAGATCCGGGATATCCTCACCAAACCAGCCGAGGACAAGAAGTACGAAAAATTGAAATCAGAACTCATCGTAACCCACAAGCAGTGGATTAGAATGTTACTCGAACGGGAAGAACTAGGGGGCCGCAAGTCGTCGCTGTTCCTACGACACCTCCAAGGACTCGCAGGATCGTCCGTGGTTGACAATCTCCTAAGGTCTATGTGGAACAGCAGACCGCCGCACAATATCCAAGCCATTCTGGCGGTACAGAAAAAAACCAACTTGGGGGAGGCAGCCGAACTCGCCGACGCCATACATAGCACGAATCCACACGCAGAAGACGCATTCCAGCACGACAACCTCGACGATAACGCTATCCAGGAAACCATAAAAAAATTATCAAAGTCCTCGTGTGACATCGAAGAGACTTCAGCGTATTTTTGTGTGGCAGATCAAGTGTGTTATTAGCCAGTGTTGACTCCACCATCAATAAGATCTTGTCGAAGGCTACCACATTCCCTTTGTCGGTACCCACTTCCAACGTCCCCTTCACCCGCAATGCGCGTTTGAACTTTTGACTCCACCATCAGTAAGATCTTGTCAGCGCGCCGTGCAAAATTCTGCCACGCAGCAGTTGTGTGCGTCCACAAGATCTTTCCGACGACGATACCAATTTAAAAACAATTGGAGAAAAACTGTAGAAGAAGATAGAAAAAAAACTGAAAATTCTCGCATATACTGCCAGCCAGCCAAAGTAAGATTAAAAGCTACCTTTTTAGAAACAAATTTGCAAAAATGCGCTAAAAATAACGGTATAGATTGCGGAGCAAGCATAGCCCAACGGTACGAAAGTGGGAGAGCAGCCCGCAGCCGCACTCCAAGGAGGCAATACGAAACATACCACTGCACGCCCCGGAAAACTCTCAATTTTTCTCCCATTTAAGAATTGTTTATTTAGATTTGTTGTATTTACTTGAAAATGTGAAATTGCGCGTTAAAATGTAAGAAACATCTGGTCAATTTGCGTACGATATATAAAAGATGTTATCTGGAGGTTTTGCGACAAGTATCGGACGTAAGTTAATTCAGGCGCGTATTTGGGTGCTGATAACAAGGCCAACGTTGTACGCATTATTTTCTGAGTAAATGGGAGCGCGTTCCTTCGGAGCTGGCGTTCTCAAGGCTTTATTTCTAAATACTGGAAGGAGTTTTTTGTTTGGTGAAAGTGGGGTCTCGTTAAATACTGCAGACAACGAAAATGCAGCTGGTTCGCGACGGTTAGAAAAGAGTGTGCGTCCCTTGACGCTAATTATTTATTCGGGCTATAAAAATAGAGATTTTTATAATTTGTTATTCGTGAAAACTCGACAAGTATGCATTTTATTTTTTTTTTAAACTGTGAAGAAAGCTGTAGTTTAAAATACAAAAAACCAGGCGTCAAATTCTTGACAGAATAGCTTCCTATAGCTGAAACCAAAAATTGCCAACAAACGTACGTACGTACATACAGACGGAAAAAATAAGAAAGGTGCATTTTTTACGCATGCATTTTGTTTGCTTTTATTAGAGGGACCTACCATCCAAATTTCGTTAAAATTGCTCCTTAAATAAGAAAGTTGGATGTTGCACATGCGCAACACTATTTTTTGCGCATGCATTTTGTTAGCTTTTATTAAAAGGACCTACCATCTAAATTTCGTTAAAATTGTTCCATAAATAAGAAAGTTGCATTTCTGCGCAACACGATTTTTGCGCATGCATTTTGTTTGCTTTTATTAGAGGGACCTACCATCCAATTTTCGTTAAAATTGCTCCATAAATAAGAAAGTTGGATGTTGCACATGCGCAACTCGATTTTTTGCGCATGCATTTTGTTTTCTTTTATTAGGAGGACCTACCATCCAAATTTCGTTTTAATTGTTCCATAAATAAGAAAATTGCATTTCTGCGCATGCGCAACACGATTTTTGCGCATGAATTTTGTTTGCTTTTATTAAAGGGACTTACCATAGAAATTTCGTTTAAATTGCTTCAGAAACAAGATCGTTGCGTTTTGCACATATGCAACACAATTTTTTGACTTTGACAATTTTTTTCTCCGTTTTTTGATAATATAACCCGACCCAATTTTTTGTAGGTTGTACACAGGAAAATAAGGTCTTCCTAGCACATGCTAGGAAGCTAAAAATTTTATTCTTTAAAAGTTGCTTAAAATGGTCTAAAACGTCGACATTTGATGAAATTTTGAAATGTTCAAAAAACGGGTATCGCAATAGCTACCTAACACATGCTAGGAAGCTAAAAATCGTTTTTTATGATTGCTATGTCATTCATAGGTACCAAAGATAATATTCTCTTTGCCAATACGAACAACCGAGCTATGGCTCGTTAAAGGTTAGGCTCGAGGTTAGGTCTTGTTCGCCAAACAAGCTTTATTACAGAGTTTCAAAGTCAAACAACGGGAAAACTAGGCATTTTTCAGAAAAATAAATAATTTAAATCAATCTTTCTTTTAGAAAAAAAATAAAAATATTTATTTTCTTTCCATGAAATATGCGGTTTCTATAGGTTTATTGTTTGCTATATACAATCAAATTTCTGGTCTGGTCTTAGTTTTAACATCGACGTCAAAGTGATAAATAATCAAATTCGCGCTCGTGTTCAAAATTAAATGTTATAGTAGTGACTGTAAGTAAGTGATAAATATTGAATTGTTATTAATCACTCTATTTAAGGACCGTTAGTTATTTGATACTTGATACTTTGACATATGCCTATTAATTAAAGTTATATACAGTTACGTTACAATATCATAAACGTATCCGCTAGTTAGCTTACAAGTAAATGCAGTTCTGTGCAAGGGGTTGTTAACATACCCCAACATTGAAGAAATCCCATTCGTATATGTCCAGTCGATTGGCACTTGATAATGCGAATGCAGCTCAGATTTAAAACATCTTTCGGCGTACCCTCGGGCGTAAATAGGTACCTAAGCCACTGTTAATATTAGCGTACGAGTACAACAATGTCAATTGTAACGCTCGAATACCAATCTAGGGGTTGTTTTCAATATTTAGGGTAACTAACAGACAGCTAGCGTCCAGCTGTTTATTGAAACCCTCGAAAGCGTGCCAAAGTGTAATATAACTAATACGTCATTTACATAATTTAATTTAAATCGGTAATAAGCGTCTAAAACAGAAGAAGTGCTTTCCACTTGCACTTGAAAGCAGACAATTTCTTTGAATTCGTTAAAATTAGAATCGAGTGCTTTATAAAATTGGCAGAGGATGAAGAAAGACACTTATAAAAAGAACAAATTTAAGTCTGCTTAACGTCAACGTTAAAGGTCTTGATCCTTTTAGGATATCGTAAATGAAACTTTTAAGAATGTTCTGGTGCATCGTGCATCCCCTAAACAAATACCACGTGCATAAAAAGTCAAGTTGAACACGCCTTTGATTGACCTTACGACTTAAAAACCTTTAATTTGTCATTCTATGACTAATTCTTTTAACTGAGCGTGTTGAATAATTAAAAAAGACGGGTTGCAATCAAATCACAGTTGGCAATCTACAAAAAGGGGGGAGATTTCAAATTTAACGTTCTTATCATCGCTAACCAGATTACGGCCATGTGGCACGCTTTCAAAACCCCCGGATGGCACTTCGGGGCCCGAGGGAAGTTATTTATTGTTACTTCAGTGGCGCACGAGGAAGTTTTATGCACACATTTTCCCACGGACTAAATCAACAAGAGTTTGTTTACAATCCTACCCACATATTTGCCGATATCATGATCCGCAAATACAATACGAATCTCACAAATTACACAGACCGTTCAATTCACCTTAAAATTGTTTATAGCAATTTGTGACTCACATTTTGCAAAAGTTAACGCCCTCAACAATGATAAAGTGAATTATGGTCAAAAGGTAAAAACGGCCCGAAAAATTGTTATTCGTTACATTTTAATTAGCTACCGTAGGTGATTTCATAGGTTGACGCCCAGCATACCTGCAAAATTTGTTGTCTTCTCCCGCGCCAGTGATTGGTATGTTTAATTAAAATTCAGCAGTACCTCACTCATCCCACAAAACTGCACATTGATTATATTGTTAAAGAATCCCTTTTATCTGGTGTTTTATTATAAATGAGCATAATTAGTATGTGTTTACGAAATAAGTAACCTCAAACGTTTACGTACGAACTACAACCATTAATGCCGGATTACTAAACGGACTGCTAGAAGAGTGGGAAAAGCGAAGGAAAATATCGGTGTCAAAACGTAAACGAAAGGTAATTTAAAGTTTGATGGCGCTTGCGCTCTACTCGTACAGACCTCTGTACCGTTTAGTTTAGGCAATTTTCTTTCGTTCTTCGGCAGGAAGTCTATTAATTGGTGTTTTGTAAATTATTATTATAAGCAATCAGTAAATATTGTTTCAAATTCCAATTGAAAAAACTAAAAATCAGTACACTGAGCACCGGTAGTCGGTAGTGATTTTTCGCATTGCTCAAAAAGCCGGTGGCCTTTTTATATACGTACCTATTTTTTCTCGTGAATTACTATTTTATTTCATTTTAGCTTAAATTACCACGCACTTCTCTTTAATTGTAATTTATATTTAGTAAACAAACCGTAAATAAATTTAAGAAATAAAAAAGTAGAATCGAAAGCGGGCAAATTTGTAATATAAATAGTAGCGACACCCGGCGGAAGATTTGTTCAACTTTCTTAAAAGGAGCTTACGTTACGAGATAGGCAACACACAATGCAAATGAAATTTAAATATAATTTTCCTGAATACAAATTCTATGTCCTTGATACACGCTTTACACATTTTTGGAGCTTCCACCCTTCCTTCATCACCATTAGACTTTTATGCTTACTACGTATTTTCAGAGATTCGTCACGGATGATTCCTATCACATTTCGCTGCACACCTTCTGCTTTTTAGGTACTTGAAATTTGCTTGCAACTTCTTTTTTTCATACGTGCTCCATGCCTCCTCCATTCATTTTTTTTTATCGCTTCGTCGTTCACTCCTCTCTTTTCACACTTCATATCCATATCTCCTTTGTACCCCGTTGGAGACCCCTCCCCTACTTGACGCAGCCGAAGCACGCGCTTTCGCCACAAAAGTTACGTGCGAGACCCCCGCGTGCTCTTGAAGGTTCTGCCGCTGGAGTTGCCGATAGGAATGGCGTGGAGGACCTTACCAGGCTCCTCCCTGCGGAAGAACGTCCTCCACAGGCGCGTCCTGAAATCAGGATTTTGCCTGTAAGGGTCCCTCAACAACTCCCCAAGCGTCCGGACGTGACAACAATGAATCCAATCTTGAATGAATAAAAATACTAAGACATCATCTCCTGTTCTCTGCCTAGGCCCCCCCCCCCCTCATCCAGATGGCGATCCAGGGGCTGAGCGCCGGAACGCACCGGGGGGAGGGCCGAGTGAGCGTGTATCGGTTTTTGAAACATCTATTGGGTTCCTTATCGATCGCTCCCCCGCCCACCACCTCGGTGGGACGATGGCCTCTTTGGCTCTTTGGGAAAAGTCGAATACTCTCGTGATTCATGAACTACCGCCCCTGTGACCTCGTGCTCACATTTGTTTCCCGCCCCCGTCGTCTTAGATTTAAATCCAAAATTTGGAAATGATTTTGTCATGTGTCAGGGTACAAAAATGGTCAACTGTCAATATTTCTTATCGTTTCCAGCATAGAACTTGATATGAATGACGACGATGAAGATTCAATATTCGATCTTTATCAGCTCAATGAGCTACGTGCTAAAAACACGGACTCATTTCGCTGTTTAGCTCAAATTGTAGTTTCGCATAGTTCAATATTTCGCCACCCATTATACCCGTTCCCACCGTTAGAAGATCCTGGATTAGACGAAGCTGTCTCGCATAGAGGTACATGTCTTAATGAAAGAGCTCAGCGCAGTGGTATTTTGTAGAGAAGAGTATGAGCGACGACGGTGTAGGTGCCCAGTACTATTTAAACATGTGCCAATCGCTTAAGATCGTACCATTAAAGAGAGTTTCAAACTCGTTGATAACAACCGTTTTAAACCTGAAGGTAGTTTTTTGCGCTTTATACCTACTATTTCAGTACAATGTTTCAGTATTTTGGTTTAAAAGACAAGCAGATTAAAGCGATAACAGAAACATTAATGCGCAATAGATTTGTCCAACATTTAATTCTTGAAGACAATTGGTTAAGTACAACTTCTATGGAGTACATTAGCCAAATGTTAGCTAATAATTCTACTGTCTACTACTTAAATTTGCGAGAATGTCGGATTGGGCCCGAAGGTACTATGTAGTACCTATTTCATTTGTAAGTTGAGTTTTTGATTTAGGCGCTGCTGCGCTTAGCATGGGTATATCGAGTTCGATCTCGCTAATAGAGTTAGATCTCAGTTTCAACGATTTAGGTGATGACGGAGTTGAGCATCTCGAGGACTCTTTGGAAGATACGCGCTGTCTTCAGACTTTAAACTTGAGTCATAATAATCTTGGAGAGCGCGCTGCAAATACTTTGAGCTTTATTTTAACGTTTAATAGCTCATTGGCAGAGCTGGATCTGTCGTGGAATAATTTCAATACACCAAAAGGCACATAGGCCACATAGAATGACAACGATAACATTTCTTCTCACCAGGTAACAAGCTACTGTTTACAGCACTTGGTGGAAATGAGTCAATTCGCAAATTGAGTATAGCTTGGAATGGTATAAGTTCTAACGAAGCAACGCGACCCATGATGAATTATCTTTCGGCTAGTACATCCTTAGTCGAGTTCGATATCAGCAGCAATCGGTATTTGCATCATGCTTCCAAATAGAAATACTAATAAATAACTCAGTCTTACAGATGCCTCCTTTCGGAATGTGAGAAATGGTTTAGGCAAATGTAAAAAATTAAAAACACTCAAAATTGGAAATAATTTGCTTACTTCCGAAGAGGCGATGGAACTAATTAAATTGCTAGCGACAAGTCCCAAACTGTTAGAAGTTAATATGGAGAACACCTTTATTAAACCTGACTGCCTACCGGTATGGTACCTTTGTTTTAAGCTCTCAACGAGCTAGTATTTTCAGTTGTTGAAAGGTGTTTTAAAAAAAGGAAAACTTGTAACGATAGGAGTGTTAAACACCTACAGTATAAGAGGCCCAGACCATATGAAACTATTGTATGGTCGTGCCAATTTTTTAGCAAAGAAGAAAAAGAAAGATTTTGGGTAATACTTTATTTCGACATAACATACCGAGTATCCCAATTAAAATTGGCTCGTAGCTAAAGAATACAAAAAACAAAAACGGTAGTAGTACTCACAACCGAAGAGATTTTATTAGCAGGATCTCGCCCCTGAGATAGATAACTGGCCCCTTGTTCGCTTTCTCTCTGTAGTTCTACTTCCTGAAATTTAAAATCAGGGCTCGCGCGACAAGCGAGTGAAAAGTTATTACTGCTCTATATTCAATTCAATAGCGCTTCACCAATTCGTTGTCCGCAACCAACATTACATTTTAGCACCAGATAAATGATAAGATTTATAAAAAGTGCAATTAAATAAAATTACATTTAGAAAGCGGAGTTAATATCTATTACAAATAAAACAAATGTATAAAAATATGCAATAATTAATAAGAACATCTCACATATACCTATAGGAATTTAATTTTTTGCATTTGTATACTTTAAAATTTAATAACTTGAAAGTCTAACACAGTTGCTAATTCTGTTAACATGTCATGTATACTTCCAGGATCTTCGTAGGTCAGCTACCAAATGAAGAATTAATAATAGAAGATTTCAGAGCATTACTGAAAAAAAGTAAGATCAAACTGGATGAAGATTTACTTGCAGCAATAATGCAAAAATTCCCTGGAGCTAAGCAAAAAATAAGTTGTGCGGATTTACAAGCAAGTTACGTGACATATTATCCTGACACTGTAATCAAATCTAAACCGGTGGAAGAAAAACCAGTGGAATTACCAAGTGAAAAGACGGAGTTGGACCCGCATTGAAATTAGTCAAGTGTAAAAATTCTGGCAGCTATGTCGTCAATAAGCCAATCGATACCACTTAGTAAATTTTCGCCAGTTACCGCACTGCACCATATAATCTTCCAATGATGTGTTTTTATTTTGGCCAATTCTAATATCTGCGAAATAAATTATGAGGAATTGCGGGTACTTTACTTGTTTACCTCTTGTAGTTCCGTTGCAGAAAATGCACCAGGAAGATCTTGTTTGTTAGCGAATACCAAAAGCGTAGCTCCTGCTAGCCTCTGAAAATGAAATTTTGAAATAAATGATGCAGTAAGCGTGTCTCAAACCTCCTCTTTTAACAACGTGAACAACTCTGCTCTACAATCGTCCAACCTTCTTTTATCTGCACTATCGACAACCCAGATTAAACCATCTGTACATTCAAAGTAATTTCGCCAATACGATCTCAAAGATTTTTGGCCACCGACATCCCACATGTTCAGCTTGTAGCTGAAATAACAACTTCAATGAAATCGACTCACATAAACACTCACTCACTCTCTGTGCTCCAAGGTTTTTATATTAAAACCTAAAGTCGGAGATATCGTATCTATCCTCTCACCATTGAAACGTTTCAAAATTGTCGTCTTACCGGCATTGTCTAATCCACTGTTGTATAATTAAGAAAAATGCGTACAAGAATAGGCTAACGGGGGCTTAACGTATTTAAAGGATACAGCATTAGAATTCGCATCTCTTTTTCTTTCTGCTTCATTTTTCTTAACACTGTTAAGAATCCCATTTCGACGGATAGAGAATTTAACAATAAATTAACAAATTTTGAAAATTAAATCTTAAATTTGTCGAAAATTTTGGAGGTTATATTTAAGTACTATCTTGATCGTTTCATTGATAGATGCCGCCACAGTCTAGATTTTGTGGTAAGCGGTATAAACAAATATAGCTACTGTCGCCTTATAATCGTGGTGGGCGATAACAAATTGTTATAATAATTTAACTTTACAATAACTGTATTGTAACGCTCCGGGAGCTATCGACCATCTGGAAAACACGTAAGTTTTGCAATGTCCTTTAAAGTTCTATAACAGTTTTCCAGAGTTTGTCAACATCTATTTGTGTTTGGGTTTTTTCATGGCTTTCTAGACTCTTTTCATAGTGCACTATCTTTTCTCGGTTTTTGATATCCTTTTTAACTTTAAAGTACTTTTCCAGAGGACTGCAGGTTCTTCTAATTATTGTAATAGTTAGTAATGACAGCGCGCTGGGAAGAGTTACATAAAGAATCTCCGAAAAGATTCTCAAAATGGTTTTGGAAGTCACTTGAAATCCTACAGCGTGAACAAAATGATGTACCTTAGTTCCTCGCCTCATTTCCTATTATACAGGCTATAATAAAAATGATCATGAGACATTAAGCAATTTATGTATGAAAAATAACTATTTGTGTAGGAATTGCGCTGTATAAGAACTGCCAATTTAAAACGTCAAACTTCTCAAAAGAGAAATGTTTTCCTAATTTTGTTAAATTTTTTAACATTTTTCAAAAAATAGGAACATGTAGATTCCACGAAATGTGTATAATAAATTTAATTTCGTAAAACTTTTGAAAATGTATTTCCCCGTGGGCTGGCCTAAAGTTTTGGATGTACCCGAATTGGGTCAAACGAAAATTAAACATATTACTAGCAATAGGGACAAAATTTTGTTTGCCATTTTAACTGACGATGCTTTGGCCCTTTGGTTTTGTAAGGTATTTGAGATCGAACTATTAAAACTCTCTCTGAACGTGCCTGTTTTAGCCGTGTGTACAAATCGATTTTCGACGGCGGACACCGCAATCTATTCAGGATTTTGGTATTAATGTTATAGTTGAGTGGAAACCTGACTCCAGTATGCTTGTTATTGTTGTAAGCCATTGTAGAGTAGTCTGCGATTTGTGTTTACCAATTTTATTTCAGACATCCGAGGGTCATTTATTATTTTACAATGTATCTGTTAACGCCGATCAGAAAGGAGTGTACGTGTTGAAAGATTCACCACATGCGAACTTACGGAGAGACAGTGCAGAACTGTTCATTAAGGAGGTCATTCCTGCATTGAGTTTAACATTAGTATGTCTGTAGGAAGCTGGCCTTTTGTTTGTTTTCATTTGTTACTATTTTAGAATAAAGAAGTTTCAGTTTGGGATGGTGCAATAAGCAGTATCGTCTGCATCACCATGACAGAATTAATGGTAGCTACTAGTAAAGGACATGTATTACGATATCAATGGGATGGATCGCAAAACAGAGATTACAATTTAGATTTAAGAAGGGTTCCGTTCTGTATAAATCAACAAGTTTCGAAAGGTTAGCGAAATTTTGGTAGGTCTGTAGTTAACACATCTTTTTGCAGCTATTCCAATTGTGGAAGAAAATACGTACATTGTTGAAATGGAATATTCGCCTTTACTGGGAGGTTTTGCAATTGCCTTGAACGATGGACGGGCAGCGTTTTTAACAGCGTCTTCTTTAAAGTTTGATCCAAATGTAAGTAGGGCTACAATAATACTGCACTAGATAGGGACTGTATTTGGAAGAGATTTTTAATCTTTAGGTTGGTTCCGTAATGATGCTATAGGGGGCTTCTACCATCAAGCGTATTATTTTGAGAATCCATAACTGTAAATAGGAAATAGTAGCCCTTGTTTGATCTGACATTCAATGTTATACATAGTGTAACAGGTAACTATGTCAAACAATTGAGTGATACAGGGGACCAAAACAAAAACAAATATTGGGTACATAAAACAACGGTTCAAAATTTTTTTTTTTTTGTTCAGGGACGGATGGCTTCATTGTGTCGGTTTGACATTTATGACTGTGTGGTTTTGAAGGTAATTCTTTTGGGAGAAATGACAAAACTAATGTTGGTCCATATCTTTGTCGTGACCAAAAAGTAATGTGCTTAGTTTAGAACAAATTTGGGCTTGAAGCGGAAAAGGCATATTTGTAATTAAAAAAAATTGCTTGTTCTTCAAAATATCTCTAAAACCATTAATGATACGTAAAATTTTGTGGAGATCAAAATAGTAGGTTTTCCTGTTTTGAAAATGTTCGTTTTGTTCCATTTTTTTAAATGATTACTGTCACAGGGGGTGGTTTTTATGTCCTTCAGAATGTCATTTTTATAGAAGATTGCGATTCTGTAGAAACCACTAACCGTGATTTCCGACTATTAATATGAGAAACTATACAAATTCAGTTTTCAATTATTTTTCTAATGACCTATGCAAACCCTATCTCTTCATTGTGTTCTTACAGATTGCATGTTTGATTCTACAATTTTATCATTATTTGGAAACAGGGGTAGTTTTCTTATCTTAAAAAATAGCAACCTTCGGCGTAGGGCCAACTTTGAACTGTTGTGTTGTTTTTTTTTTCTTTTGCAAACATTGCCAATTTTCAGACAAATCCATTTTTTTACCCAATTTTCAAACATTTTTGTTTCTTTTTTTTAAAATTATTGTTATTTTTATATTCGTGTTTCCCTTTGTAATGTTATCTGTGCAAACCACGCTTAGTTTTATATATGGGTCAAGTGGTAGAACAGATTCGAATTAGGATCTGAACTTCGCCCTTTGCACCTTATCATAACATGATTTATTTATTAGTTACGTTTTCTAGTGAGTGCAATAAAGTCATATTATTATTAAGTAATAAAGGGTGAGTTGAAGCCAAATTTCTGTGTAATTTGGTGCTGTTTGGCAAAATTATAAGGTTGAGAAAAATTAAAATTCAGCAATTTGTATGTGTATAGAAATTTTAAGAAATAGGGTAATTTTGCACACAAAAAAATTAAAGAGTTTAAAAAATCCAAAAAATTAAGGCAATAAAAACATTCGGAAAATAAATGAATCCGCAAAATTGTGCATACAAAAATTCGGAACTTTCAAACATTTTCGTAAAATTCGGGAAATGACATTCGAAATATTTATACAAAATTAAAAGTGCTCACAAATATTCCAAATATGTACTAGAAAACAGAAAAAAAATCAAAACAATTTGGTCATCAATTTACAAAAATTTAAAGAATTCATATTTCGGGATACTAAGTTAAGAACTTAAAAAAACTCCAAAATGAAAAAATTAAAAAATCAGAATCAGAAGATTTGAAAAAATTAAAGTAAATGTAAAAAATATAGACAAGGAAAGGTTAGATGAGAATTTAAAAATTCGCAGAAAAATGCAAGTTGATAAAAAGTCTAAAAAATCATAGTTTCAATTGGGAGAATTAAAAACAATCAGAAAAAAATTCAGCAAGAAATTCGAAGAAAATTTTGAGAATTTAGATAATTTGAAAAATTCCCAAAATAATAGGTAATTTTCAATTCTAAAAACTAACAAAAATTGTGAAGCTCAATTGAAATTTTGGAAAGGTTGAATATGCATATTATTAAAAAAATTAAATTAAATATTCGAAAAACTTAAAAAAGTTCACAATTTCAACAAAATTCGAAAAGTCAGACAATTAGCTTTCACTTATCTAATTAAAGTTATGAATTCTTCTTCATTGACTTATGCAGGCAGTACCTATCTAGTGCCTTTGACCTAACTAATCGATTTTTAACACAATGTGTTTTAGCAAACCCAAGGTATTTGGGCACAGGGAATTGAAGATGCCACCTGCGCAAGTGTTAATCATAAATATAGGCTGTTGACATTCGGAAGAGCAAAGTAAGTGCACTTGCTTCAGTATTTGTAACTACTTGATACGAATTACAGCTCGCAGTGTGTTGTGTACTATATTGATGAGAGCACAGGAGGTTTAGAGCTTTCGCACCATTGCATTTTGAGCAGTAAAGATTATCCGGGTTGTCCGGGCGTCGTTAACCAGGTGAAGTGGACGCCGGACGGATACGCAATGGCCGCTTCATGGGCAAGAGGTGGTATAGCACTCTGGTCAACTTTTGGCGCTTTGCTTATGTGTTCTTTGGGATGGGATTATGGTTTACATGTCGATTTAGAAAGATGCAATCCTCTACATGTCTCCTCTATGGTGCAGACGCACCACTTTCTGAGTCATCTACTTAGCTTTTGATTTTTAGGAATGGGCGACTGAAGGGTACCAACTTTGGATGATACGCAAACACACCTACAGGAATAGCACAGAAAATGACCAAAAAGATGTAAATAGCAATAGCGACGAAGAAGATACGTATAATGTTATACAACTTGATTTTGTAAAGAGCGCTCTTACCAGCAATCCTTGCATGGTAGGCACTAAACACGTTTTGTCATATAAAATTTAGTTCCATTTTTAGAGTCACCAAAGCCACTTATTTTTGCAAGGAGACGATCGTTTGTATATAAATACTGCATGTACGTTAATTAAATTATTTTCTGATCGTTTAGTTAAAGATGACGGATTGTTTACTGAAAACGGAACTATTTCCGCTTCATCTACTTTAGCGGAAGGCAGACAGTGGCTCGTTATTCCGATACCTTCAACTTATTCGGCTACAAATTGGCCAATTCGTGTAAGTCTCGTTAGGCGTTACGATTATACAGTGATATTCATTAAGAAGTAGACATAGGAATTTATGTGAATTGTTTTTCCCTATGTCTACTTTTAAATGACAAAATCCTTTTAAAGGACGCCTAATTTTATGCACCCAAAATAACTTCTTAAAACAAATAAAGATCTGGCTGTCACATTAATTAATTTGAATATTGTTGCTTTGGGTTACATATTTTTATTTTCGTTCCTGTGCGATGTACTCAACTGAAGAAGAAGTTGATATTGTCAATTGGTATAGTGCCGGTAACGGTTTAAGGAGCGTAAAACATTTATTTTCTGTTAAATCAAAACAACAACATTCAAACTAATGAATATGACAGCCAGATGTTTGTTTTAAAAAGTTATGTTAGATGCATAAAATTAGGCGCCCTTTAGAAGATATTTTGTCTTTTAAAAGTAGACGTGTTTTCTTATCTTGAAGCTAATTAACTTACGCAGCGGTAACAAAACTTCTTATCTACGACCGGAGATAAACTCTTACATATGCTACGCAATTATTTCCAGATGTTCAAATCTACTCTTTTAAGGTGGTTGTTTAAACAAAATTAACAACTAATAATTCTTCAATTTACTGAAGTTTTTTGCGCATGGAAGTATAACCAGTAAAAAATGTACAAAAGCTTTCTGGTTGTGTAGCACATAACTAGCCCTGCGGCATGACTGTAGGGGGACGGTGTAAGGTTGTTTAAAATAACCTGCCTGAATATTCTGAAATTTTAAAAATTGAAAATACACCTTGTGATTGATTTATTGAAAAAAAAAAATGTTTGATTTCAGTATGCTGGCATTGATCATGATGGCCAGAATGTAGCTATAGCCGGTCGTACCGGACTGGCTCATTACTCGATGCTAACGCGGCGTTGGAAATTGTTTGGAAACGAAACACAGGAAAAGGACTTTGTCGTGACCGGCGGTATATTGTGGTGGCGCGATTATGTCGTTGTCGGCTGCTATAGTATGATTGACAATCGCGACGAAATCCGTTGTTATCCAAAGGAGAGCAAACTAGATAATAAGTTCGCTAAAATTATTAAAGTTTCGTCTCCCGTCCTGCTCATAAATAGTCTACTGGATAACTTAATTACTTTCGGATCGGACGGTCAAGTTGTCATTTGGTCTCTTAGCAAATTGGACACGGGTGAGTTAGAACTGTGCCGGTAGAGTTTACCAAAAAGTTATATCAGTAGGAAACGTGGAGGCAGCGAGACTGCAGATTATCGATATATCCGCTTTATGTGTTCATCCGGCGTGTGTTACTTCGGTAACGTTAACGTCACTTCGTACTGAAGCAAGCCGAGGACATAGCCGCAATTCGGAAAGCATCGTGCTTAATGTCAGTGGCCGGCTTTTATTAGTGCAAAGGGAGTCCCGAAGCGGCGATCGTTCTACGTGTACCATGCCTACAGTCCTTGCCAGCTGTGTTGAAAGCGTTTGGGTTCCTCTGAGAAGTAAGGCCGAAAAGGTTTGTGTATACAGGGTGCCCATTATTTATGGAATATAGTATATATCTCGGTATATGACGGTGTATGACGATTAGGATCTATAACAAACTGCCCAAGGAGATAATAGATGCACCAACAAAAGCGAGCTTCAAAGATAGATTAAAGCACATGTTAATCCAAAATTGTTACTACAATATATCTGATTTTCTGTATCAATAGCTAGCTTTTTCCAATAATTTAATCGACGAATCTCTTACTTGTGTTTTCGTGTATGAGATCAATAAACGTAAATAAAATAAATAAATAAATAAATATCGAATGTATACAACATTTTTCTATAATGTAATTTGTTTAACAGCATTCAGTTGTTTTTATTTCAGAAAACAAATCAGTAATGAAAAACAATTGAATTTTTTTTTATGGCAGTGCACCTTTTCACTAACAAAAAAAACTATTAGGGTACTAACATGTTATATCATCAAAAAGAGAAAAAAAATCTCTATCAAATGAGCCTAATGAAAAGGTGCACTGCCATTAAAAAAATTCAATTGTTTTTCATTACTCATTTGTTTTCTGAAATAAAAACAGCTGAATGCCGCCTTATTATGGGAAATAAAATGTTAAACAACTTATATATACAAAAATGTTGTATGCATTCGATATTTACTGAGATATATACTATATTCCATACATAATGGACACCCTGTATTTAAATTACAACTTTTTTCTTGAAAGGTGCAGTCTCAGTAACTGTTTCTCTTCAAATTGAGAATTACTGTGACTGGTTCATATCTCTTCTATATATATATAAAAATGAATCGCCATAATCTATGTATGCGCATCATTTCAGAACGACTGCACCAAATTTGATAATTCTTTTTTTTTGTGTTTCTCATTATCAGGACAAGGTTTGTATAAAAGATAATTTTCAAAAAATTGTACGGAAAGACGTAAAAACAAGACTTTTCTCTTTCGCCGTTTAAATCGCAATATAACTAATAGATGGCGTCAACGGTTTATACGTTCAGATACTGCCCACTGCTGCATTTACTTACACGAACTATTTTTTTTCTTTCGTCGTATAAATCGCAATCTTCTATGTCTATCTATATATATACATTGCTATATATTAAAAATGAATCGCTGAAATTTATTTACGCGCATCATTTCAGAACGACTGCATCAAATTAGATAGTTCTTTTTTTGTTGTGCTTGCGTTATCGAAACATGTGAAGCTCTCTTTTCTTAAAAATGAAAGCAAAGAAATGCACGCGAAGGATGCAAACGTTACTAATTAATTTATGAAAATAATCGTCAACATATAAATTTGTACCTACCTACCCTAATCTGCAGCTACTTTCAAAACATCTCCGCAAATTCTATTTATAAAAAGGGCAAGGTTTAAAAATACAGTCAGACCCAACATACAATTAAGCCATAAACGGATTAAATTTACCAAATTTACTATAAATTACAGTAGGTACGACGAAGTACTCATTGATCATTGGTGCGGGCTTTCTCTCGCTTGTGGTAAAAGTCGGGGTCAGATAAACGCAGGGACGTCCCGTGGAGATAATTGGGGGGGGGGGGGGCAGGATTTTCCTTGTTTGACCAACTCTTCGGATATAATTGACCGATTAATTGGAAAGAAAATCTATAAGCTGTGTCCAAGATAAGGATGTCTATTATGGAGATCGAAACCATAGATGACAATGGTCAAATTAGAGAAAGGATGCGCAATTAAACGTTGTGCCCGGGTGCACCATCCTGTTGAAACCAACAATTTCCTACTTTTGTACATACCTGCATAATTGCATTCGTAATAAAAAGTGCTACTAAATACAGTAGGTATGTAGGTACTTTTTCAACGAGCCATATAAAAAAGTATAGTTTGTGATCATTTCTCCGAAACAAAACGTTATATATTAAGAAGCTTCCAAGGGTGCTCAAAAAGAGGCAATGAGAAAGTATTTTTTTGGAACAAGAAAACGGTAGTTCTAGGTTCTAGTGTAAACCAGAGTGTCTTCAAATTATCGTCCAAAAAGTTGATGATCGAGTCCAATACTCCACAGAATTCCTTCCGCTTTGAGGTTTCGACTAGAACCAGCAGGATTATATTGTGCCAGTAGAAAGCTCAAATTACCGCACCTTACAATGCCACCGGAACCAATGAATTTATTACTTCGGGCACCTTACAACGCCAACATTATAACGGTGTAACATCATTTTTTGATGCAAATATAATAAAGGGGTTTCAATCCAAATTTTAAGTATTATTTTTTCTGTTCATACACATCCAAACCCTCCCATCGACATTTCTTGCAGACGAAAATTTATTCAACATTATGATGTGTATTCCAAATGACATCATTTTTTGATGCAAATATAATTCGGGAAAGGGGTTTCAATCCAAATTTTAAGTATTATTTTTTCTGTAACCGACATCATACACATCCAGCCCAACATGTAACCACGAATACGAAAATTATAAACACCCGTGCGAAGCCGGGTCGGGCAGCTACGTAGCTTATAAATTGGCTGTGTGATACAATCGGAGCAGTTGTAACTGTAAAAGCCCCTTAATAAAGTAATGTTTTATATCACTGAACTGTAATTAAATAATTATAGTTCAGTGTTTTATATAGTATTATAGAAGACTTAGTATAACTTTGTTTATTTTAAAGGTGCATCTCACTGAAGCTTTGTGGCTGTTTTGTGGGTCACATGGAATGCGCGTTTGGCTGCCTCTATTTCCAAAGGACGGAGATAAAACTCACACGTTCATGTCAAAGCGGATAATGCTACCGTTTTCTTTACGAATTTACCCTTTAGGTAGTGCTTGTAACGCTCGAGATTTGTTAATCAATAAATTGATCTTCTAGCAATACTATTTGAAGACGCGATAATTCTCGGCGCGGAAAATGACACAGTTTTATACACCAGCGATTGTAATTCACCCTTTTCGTTACCCTTCAGTGTACTCCAGCGAACGGTAAGTGGCAACGTACATCTGGCAGGCTACCAACTTATCAATTATAGAGCCAAGTGTATCTGCATCAGATATTAAGGCAACTTATTAGGCGGAACTTAGGCCTCCACGCATGGGAAATTGCCAGGAGTTGTAATAGTTTGCCCTACTTTCCTCACTCTTTAGAGTTATTGTTGCACGAGGTTTTGGAGGAGGAGGCTACAAGCAAAGATCCGATACCTGACGCCCAACTGCCGAGTGTCATAGAATTTATAATGGAATTTCCCGTTTATTTACAAACCGTCGTGCAATGCGCTCGTAAGACTGAAATTGCCTTATGGCCGTATCTTTTCTCGGTCGCCGGAAAACCTACGGAACTTTTCCAACAATGCATGGCCAAAAGACAGCTCGATACTGCGGCTTCGTACTTAATCATCTTACAAGTAACGTGTACAGCCTTTCTTTGTGGCCTTTTTTATTTCGTACTTTCAGAATTTAGAAACATCATCAGTCAGTAGGCAGTACGCAACATTGCTGTTGGATACCGCGTTAGAACAATCAAAATGGGAATTAGCAAAAGAACTAGTCAGGTTTCTGAGAGCGATAGGTAAAAGTGGTCATCTGTAGGTATCTCGAATGATTGGCATATTTTTAGACCCCAATGACGTTGAGTCCCCACGTACTTCATTTATTTTGCCCGGAAAGTTGGCGTTGAGCGCTCAAAGTCCACCTGTTACGCCGGATGCGGATGATCTCACTTTTATACTTGGTAGTTTTCAAGGTCCCAGAGGACGCAGATTCAGTATGTCTGCGAAAATCGCCGAGACCAAAGCAATAAACAGCGTGTCTGATGCTTCAACAGTGATACGAAGGAAGAAGAACTCGTCAGTCAGTCGAAATAGTGAAAGCAGGTGATAATCGAATGCAAAACCACACAAAGCTACAGTTGCATTTCAGAGATGGCACCGCTGAGGAGTTTTTTATTGACGTAATACTCCAGAGACACGCCAGGCGGCTTCTGTCGGCGCATCGCCTCACAGATTTAGGTTACTTTGCGGCGCATCTCGATTTCCATTTGGTCACATGGTTGGTCAAGGAGCGAGGCCGTGCAGCGCGCATTGACGACTTTGTTGCGGCTTTGAAACATTTACACGACGAATTTAATTGGCCGTATCCCGTCGCGACGGATTTGACGAATATTACCGGTCCTCCATGTAAGAATCAGCCGTAAGTTCGGATCTTTCACATTTATTTTTTTATAGCGACACCGACTACTCCGGAAAGTCCCACGCTCGACGATCGGATTAAAACCTTATATATGGATCCGCAAAACAATATGCAGGTGACGTCAAGCAGGGTCGGTGATAGCGGCTATGTCAGTTTTCCCGGTGGATTACCGTGTACCGGAATTTTGACATCTCAAAACTTGGAGCGCTCAAGTCAAAGAGCGAAGAGCGAAATAGAGGAGGAAAGTATGGCAACGCAAACCGAAATTATAAACACGTCTGAAGATAATTACATGGTAAAACATGATCCGAACGGTGACGTTTTAAACTCGCCCTACTTATACGATAGTAAATTAGGTTTGCTCGATAGAAATGTCAATTTGGAAAGCTCACAGTTATTGGACGGTATTAAGAATGTGCCTAGTAATGTAGTGGAAACCGTTCAAAGTTCTGTAACTTCAGTGTTCGACGATGATGCGGATCGTGACAGTATTTCGTGCAATGAACACTGGGAAGTGCCGACGGCTCAAGTCTTAGAGCAGCTATCGAATTCTGGGGTGAAAGGATCACAACGAGCTGATGTGCAATTAAGGTAGGTGTATACAGGGTCATTGTTGACAAGCGTCAGTTAGAAAGATATGGAAAACCTTTGAAAATGAAAATAAACTGATAAGTTCCTTAAGGGTCTTGGTACATGATGAATTGAACTAAAATATTTTCAAAATGGCGCCACTTCCGGAAATACCGGAAGTAGCCATCAACTTTGTTATTTTAAATAGGGACCTCCTATTTTTTCTACATTTTCGGATTCTACGTCGAATTTGGAGTACAACGATACCCCATAGTTGACCCTTTGCTCCAAGGGCTTCGTCGATATTCAAGTTTTTATGTCAAAAATTGAATTTGCAGGGGTCATTTGGAGCAAAGGGTCAACTATGGGGTATCGTTGTACTCCAAATTCGACGTAGAATCCTAAATGTAGAAAAAATAGGAGGTTCCTATTTAAAATAACAAGTTGATTGCTACTTCCGGTATTTCCGGAAGTGGCGCCATCTTGAAAATATTTTAGTTCAATTAATCATGTGCCAAAACCCTTAAAGAACTTATCAGTTAATTTTCATTTTCAAAGGTTTTCCATATCTTTCTAACTGACGCTCGTCAAGAATGACCCTGTATAGTGCTGGAACTCATTTGGAGTAATGTAAGCGGATGTAATGGGCGTGGTCACAACTTATTGGAGTGGGTAGAGTGTGTACTCATTTCCTTTTGTATAAATGGTTCATATGAGGAGAAGGGTTTAAAGCCAATATTTGAAATGTCTTACAGGTATCGTACTCGCAGTTGCAGCCATATCTGGTTCAAATGCGATGAATCCTTGCTAACCTACGGACGCCTTTGAATATAAGAGAATATACAATAGATAGTTGCTCTTATCATTCTATCAAAGCAATTGTGGGATATGACTTGTGTCACGAAGCAAACAACTGTTAAAATCTAATTATAAAGGAGTTAGAAAGTAATTGTTATTATTATTATCAATCTGAGTTCTAATGTCTGATACAGCTCATTATCATCTAATCCTCTCGGGATTTTTTGTGACTTTCCGGACTCGTTTCTAGAGTTAAGATCATTGTAGAACAACTACCTACTGTGACGTTTTGTTCGCTATTTCGTTAGGGGTTAACGTGTTCTTATCAAAGATAATGGAACAAGGTCAAATCCTGGTCACTGCCATAGAGTAAATAATATAAAGAGGTGTCATGGGATAGGATATTGTTGCAGTAGAAAATCTTGTAAGGAAGTGTTGCTATCTTGTGACTGTTCTTCAAAGCTGTTGTATTGCTGTATTACCATATAGCAGCATGTAACCTGTATTACCTATTTAAATATACTGACAACAAAGTTGAGATTTGAATTACGTCATTACTTTGCACCAGACACAGACCATGATACTGTCAGCATTATATTTAATCACCGGAATGTGATATTATGCTTCCTATGCAAGGAGTCTTTTAATTCTTTCAGGCCATAGACCTATTTATTTTATTATTTTAACGCCTTTACCCAATTACAAACTTTATTTGAATTTAGCTAGCAATGAAAGTTAAATAGGTACAGTGAGAAAATATAACTGATTATGCGTATAATTTCTAACGTTTTTGTTGGATTAGCGGTACACGTAGACCGTTTTAACACTGCTATAGCAATTTTGTGTGGAATTTACGCAAACAAGGTCCTTTTGCGCAATTCACTAATGTGGGAGTGCTGTAAGTATAGTGTATTTGTGAGAGAAAAGATCAATTCCATCCATACTACCATTGTATACCATTGTATATAAAGATGTATATTATATACAATGATATTTTTTTTCGGGGCAAAAAAAAGGCAGTGTATAACCTTCCTTTTTTCCAAAAATCGACTGCACCAAAATTTCTCGGGAAATCACTTTTTCTTATTAATTTGGGTGTGTAAAATCCAAATCAATTTGTACTTTTTCGATCAGGCTTCTCAATCAAAAGTTATAGACTAGGAATCAATTTCGAAAGAAAATTCAAAGGGCTGTAACTTTTGAACTAGCAGCCCAATCTTGGAACTGTTTGAAATTATGGATTCTACAGGCCACATTCTATAAGAAAATTTTTTTTCCGGGTTGATCTGAGACAATTTTTTTTTCGGGGCTCAAAAAAAGGCAGTGTATAACCTTCCTTTTTTACCAAAAATCGACTACACCAAAATTTCTCGGGAAAACACTTTTTCTTCTTAATTTGGGTGCGTAGAATCCAAATCAATTCGTACTTTTTCGATCAGACTTCTCAATCAAAAGTTATAGACTAGAAAACAATTTCGAAAAAAAATTCAAAGGGCTGTAACTTTTGAACTAGTAGCCCAATCTTGGAACTGTTTGAAATTATGGATTCTACAGACCACATTCTATAAGAAAAATTTTTTTCCGGGTCGATCTGAGACAATTTTTTAGGGCCTCAAAAAAGGCAGTGTATAACCTTCCTTTTTTACCAAAAATCGACTGCACCAAAATTTCTCGGGAAAACACTTTTTCTTATTAATTTTGGAGCGTAGAATCCAAAACAATTCGTACTTTTTCGATTAGACTTCTCAATCAAAAGTTATAGACTAGAAACCAATTTTGAAAGAAAATTCAAAGGGCTGTAACTTTTGAACTAGTATCCTAATCTTGGAACTGTTTGAAATTATGGATTCTACAGGCCACATTCTATAAGAAAATTTTTTTCCGAGTCGATCTGAGACAATTTTTTTGGGGGCCTCAAAGAAGGGCACCTTCCTTTTTTGCCAAAAATCGACTGCACCAAAATTTCTCGGGAAAATACTTTTTCTTATTAATTTTGGGGCGTAGAATCCAAAACAATTCGTACTTTTTCGATTAGACTTCTCAATCAAAAGTTATAGACTAGAAACCAATTTCGAAGGAAAATTCAATGGGCTGCAACTTTTGAACTAGCAGCCCAATCTTGGAACTGTTCGAAATTATGGATCCGGATCTCGTCCCATGAGATTTTTAGCACATTTCCACAAAAATTCGGTCGGTACTAGTTCTTTATCTTAAGAGCTATTTTTTTACTTTTTTTCGCTATTTGATTCGATGTAGTGTCGAGTCTTGCACCCAGGAAGGATTTTTCTCTGTGGCGCGTTTATTAACAATGTCCGAGATCGTTTCTAATTTTATATTGCTGTCCATCCATCTGCCCGTCTGTGTGTTTCCGTCTGTCTGTCTGTGTACAGTTGTGCACGATATCTTTTGTATTTGTGCAATCCAATTTTTTCATTTGTTAAAATACTTATATGAAATGTTGTAAATGAGGCATCTTAACCTAATGCCAAATCAAATAAATTTATTTTGCGCATGCGCAATCCGATACGACTAAATGCACAAAAAACAATTATTGCGCATTGCGAGCATGGTCGGATTTAGCATGGGGCCATGTGGATCCGGGCCCATAGCGCCAAATTTTTAGGGACCGCAAAAAAACAAATTTGGGAAATCTGCAGTACTATCGCGGGAAAAATAACATACCTAACCTCTTAAGGAATTGATGTTGGAATGTTGCTCACACTCTTTTACCAACTTAAAAATAATCATGAAATATGGTGTAACATAACCTCACACTTCCACGAAAGTATGGGAACCGTGTATAAAGATAAGTGTATTAGATTCTCTGAACTCTCTGAAACACTATTCAGTGGTTACATTTACATATTTATATATTGGATTTCATTGTTTAAACTGTAAAATAAACTTGAAATATGTTATTTGAAATTGGTGTCTTTTATTATTTATATGTACGACTAATTAAATCAACATGAGCAAATTAGGAGAAAGAAAATCGTATTAACATTTTTCTGTAAAGAGTAAAAAATTATTTTGATTATGGTACAAATTCTTATAATTGGTTGGGGGGAGGGGCGATTTCGAGGGGCCCATAAGCACAAAATATGTAAACCCAGCCCTGATGGCCAGACCCACATTCGCAATTTGTTGAGTGGTAGAGGGCTCAGTTTGACATACCCATAAACTTTACAGGTTTTCTTGTAAATTTCAGTTGGAGTGATATAATTATTATATATTATCAAATAAAAAGAAAAAGGGAAAATATCAGTGATAACCACATTTTGATATCTGTTTCCTAAGCAGAGATATGGCGAAAATACGCACATTCACAAATTTAATTGCAATATTAATCATGATCTAAGTTGACTTTGAAACAAGAGAAACACAATGCCACGCAAAAAATTGAGGAGTGTGTATTACCCTCTCTCCTTGAAGCTTGGAAACCAGGCGAACAAGCGACATTTGATAGGAGGAGGAAGTATTTTTCCATGGCCAGCTAGGTCACCCGACCTATCTTGCTTAGGTTGTGGGAGACGATAACGAACCTAGTCTTCCAAACCAGGCGAATGACAGGATGTGGTAGCGAGAATTAGACATAGAATTCATACCATATTTATGAACTGAAATTGAAGTTGCTATTCTCTATATTGTATCGAAAATGATGGCAGGTAGTTCTAATTATTGTTTCCTTTATAGTTTATTATTTAATTTAAGTATATTCCCGATTTAGAATTTGAATAATTTATTTGTTACTCAAAAACTTATATAGAGTGTTAATTCTGAACTGCCATCGTCTCGTTCATTTTGATGTAATTATCGCTTGTTATATGTTCTTTTGTTTATAGCAAACTTCGATGAATATAAATATTGCAATTTAAAATTCGTGAATGTGCTAGAACAAAATTTGCTTCATTTAATGCATACAAATTCATACAAAATTGTGATACATGCATTTTTTATGCTTGTTTGTTGAGTATACTTTAGGAAAAAATCATTTTTCTGCTTAACCATGTATCTTACGCCCTCTAGCGGCAAACCTAGACACTTGAAAATAATTTCCAGCGATTTCTCTTTTCCCCAAGTATTGCAAGTAACAGTTCCATAGATATGGCCTGTGACCTTTATTAATCGGACACCCTGTACTATTCTTTGTGTCGATCTAAGATGGAGTACGTATCTTTGTCTGCTTGCCGCATGTCGCATACACTGAAATACAATGCTACAGCTCAAATACAAAATAAATTTATTCGCTGCTTACATTTGGAGTATATCCTCGCTTTCATCACTACGCTGATCTTTTAAGTTCATACAATTATTGCGACTTGGAAATTCGGCTTTAATTCTGTACAAGTTACTTAATGGACAAATAGAGTGTTGTTGTCATTAATTAATTGTTATACCTCGGATCACAGAAGTAGGCCAAACTCGATTCTATTTAAAGTTTCCATATGTAGAACTAATACTTTTGTATAACTCTCTCATTAATCGCATGATGAGATAATTACTTCTGAGCTGTGATTATTTGGTTTGTGCTTATCACAATTCAAACATTTAAACAACATTTAGAAATTATCAAAATAATATATTTCATAAGGTAATGTGGGCAAATATATTGTTTATATTGTACTTGTGTATTCAGAACTGTTATCGGATTTTGCCGTATTATTGTTCTGTAAAGTGTTGAATAAATTGTAATTGAATAGTGGATTTTTACGTCACCCGATAGAGAAAAAAAATTGCAGAATTGGCAACTGTAACGGTCAGTTACAAATAGAAGGGTGGTTCTGTAATTCTTCCTCGCAAAAGGGTTACTAACTTTTTTAGTATTTTGTAAAGGGTTGACTTCTTTCTGGTGTTCTCTTTGTTTGGTTCTCTTGCCGTACTGTTGTACTTTATCTTTCTGGTACGTTTGCTTCCAGCTAGCTCAGTTAAAAATTGTAATAAGAAAACTGTTAATTTAGCCTTCACTAGTCTCTTATGTCATTGAAATGGAATGAAAATTACGTATTTTTAAAGTTATACTCCAATATGTCTTGGAGAGCTTATGTCATTATCATTTAGGCCTTTCTTTGACAAAATATCTGCATTTTTTATTTTTGTAGCAGCAATAATTCCAAAAAATTGCCGCATTTACTAAACTAACTAAAATTAATCTTACCTACATTGTTAAGTTGTCAAACCAATTAAGGATACACTCTAAAAGTCAACTTATTATGTACTGAAAAAGTAAAACAGAAATCGAAATTTTAATGGATATTGAGACATTACAGTACCCCCTCCTTCACCTGAAGAGTTGAATCGAAAACAACCTGCTTGAGAGTTTTTTGAAATGCATAAAAAAAAATGAAAATTATTTTTAAAAAACACAGTGAAAAGTAAGTCTTCAAAATTCTTGGCAAAAAAGGATCCTAAAGGTAATAGGTTTGGTTGGGAAAAATTTGGGTCGCTAACTGTATGTTTGTCGTACTATTCCTTTGTTTTGCTACCTTGTTTTTCTTTAAATTCACTACATTATGTACGCATCTCTGTAATATTTTTAGTATTTCTGTAATACTAAGTCTTCTGGATAATATTTTTACGACCTGCTTTTCTTCACGGTAAAACCTAAAACATGAGGAATGTCGAGAATCATAATCTTGATGCTTTATCTCTCGATCCATTTTTTCTCTGGGGTGACATTACAGCTTGTCTTCTTTGGTGATATATGGTTTAATTAAATTCAATAAATAATTCATTCTTAAATAATTGTTTAAATAATTTAATCTTGAATTTCTGAGTTCTCATATTAGCTGCATGTTAGATACATTGTGATGTTTTTTAATCTACTCTTTCATCCACATCTTCCTTTTTTTTTTTTTTATCGCTGCGCAGTCTTCTGGTGACATGTATCATAAAGACGACCTGCCAATTTGGTAAAGAACAGCAGGCCACGACCTCCAATGATAACTGTACGTGTGTATTGAGCAATGATGATGGCAGTCCCGCCAGAAAAGAGTCCGTGAGCTGGCGACGAACTGAATGTGAATAGTCAGCTTGAAGGTTGCTGGCACAAATGTGAATTTAGACTCATTCATTCGTTTCAATAAGTGTTGTGACGTTTATTTTATACATTTTATTCTTTTTTCTTTCATTTTCATTTTTGTGCATTTGGTAACAATGTTCATAATAAACAATGTAATGAAATAAAAGCAGATTAAACTTTCCCTACCCTTTCCTTCGCCTGATTCTTTGTGAAATTGAATCTTAGTATACAGATTTGGAGTTGACTGTTGTTTGAATGAGTAGATATACATAAGTAAATTCGTTTAGCATATGTTACAAACTATTACACATGTATGCACAGGTACTTGCTGCAACTGTTTATGGAAGCAAGCTGTTTGGAATGGTCTCTATTGATTTCAATATTATTGCGAGACGCCATGGCAGTGCTAAGAACAGTGAACGCCGCACGTACCTCCGAGCAATCTATTGAGGCTATCTCACGATTGAGGCAAGGTTTACAGTTACTTTGCTATTGGACATATCGCGAATGGTGAGTTTTGTACCCCTACTCGCATATGTTTAATCATTCTCTTCAAGTTTGGGATACAAAACATTCATGCTAGCAATACAGAATCAAATTTCCGTCCTAACGAAAATTCTCGCCACAAAAATTCAGCAGCAACAAATTCAAGAACACCAACAGGCCGTCTCCGCGACTTTCACCAAACATATGGCGCCCATTCCTTCACGATCTCGTAAGAGCAGCTCTAATCAAGATTCGACTAGTCAAAGTGGGACTGTTAAAGAGAAACGAGTTAACAGTTCGACGAGCCATTCTGCCAACGAACGATTAGCGGAGGTGCCACAGACTGATTTAGAGGACGCCTTTATTGATGATAGTTCGGTCGATCCTGCAAGTACAGGGTGCATAGTTTTGTAATACGGTGTAATGTACAAAATTAATTTTAAGGTTATGATCTGTCAATTGTGTCGGTTTTTTTTTATGTTAATCTTTTGCAATACGAAGTCGTCCAATTCCTTATTATGGCAGCGTGCCTAACTGAAACGTGAAGGCTTTCCCAATTCTTAGTAAGACATTACCTATTATGAATATCCAATAGTCAATTCCATTTTTCATTTTGTAAATATGTGATATGACATGCTCACTATATTCTTAATTTTTTTCATCAATTTTCTACTCCAACATGCTCTGGTGATTTATACATGACTTGATATGTTTTAAAAAGATGGCTGTTCTATACATTAACAGATTATGACATCTCTATTGCATTTCTTTCCACATCAGCATTTGACTATAACTAATTAGTTACTAACTATAATTAATCGAGTTTTCTAAACAACGAATTCTTTCATTCGTTCTAGTTTCAACAATGGAAGCTAGAATGTCACTAATGATTGACTGATATATTTAATGGAATGAGTCATATTTTTTGGTATCTTGAATTCTTCTGGATCAGTGACACAATTTAGCTCTTTACCTTAATTTAGTTTAAAATCCACGCGAGTACAATGATTTTAGGGTATGCATAACTTAAATTTGCTGAAACGGCCATAAATTTATCATCCACTTCAAATTTAATGCATAATCTAGTGTTTGTAGTTGTTTTGTTAGAAGAATTTATGAACTATTCGTAATGTTCATCATGATTTCCTTCTTTTTCTTAATCAACAGTTAAAGTGTGTACCTACCTTCTTTTTTTGTTTTTCAATACAGTTGCATTTATATGTTACAAGGATTTTAAACTTTTTTGCTTGTGTTGTGAAGCGCTATTTTATTTAAAAATCCCAAGCTGACACAGTTTTTAAGCAGTGTCTCAACTTTTTTTAATTAAATTATTTCTGCTACCATAATTTTTATTTTATGCACTTATGGGGTGTATTTAAAAACTGTATTAGTGAAAAAAACAAAAATTTGCACCAAGTCTTTTAATAGTGATGCTACTCAAAAAAGTTTGTCAGGTTTTTTAAGTACTTAAAGGATTGCACATCATTTGTTTTTAAACAAATAGTTGCCGACACTCACTCTTATTGCTTTTTTGATCCATAACTGTGCCAAAGTTTTATGCGGTATAACCTCGTCACGTCAATTCCCCTAATTGTATGACTCCCCTCTTTATTTTGCCAAAATCACCCTCATATTTAATGTTTCAAAAGTGTGGCTTCACCAGAAAAGCAATAAAATTCACGCAGTCACCTTAATTTATTCCACTTTCTTCATTTGTTATTGAAACACGATTGCTTATCGTTCACGTCCATTGCGAGAGTGTGTATATACTTACCTTTAAAAAGAGAATATTTTTACAATCAGCAAGTTGCCAAATGATATTAATATAAACCTGCACTAATTATTGATTAGCAATTTATTTAAAGCAATATGTATGGGAAGTCATTTATTTAAATACTAACTTTAGTGTATCGGTGATAGCATATTATTTAATACCAATTTTAATCATTGTTATCGCAATTAATTTAATCTGTAGACAAATTTAAAAGTGAATGTTAATAATATTTTAATAACTGTTAATAGACATTTTTTGATAAACGTGTAAGGAGACTAGTATTCCGTAAATTGTTTAATATTATTTATACAACAGGGAGATTCTGTTCCAAATATATATCTCTAATTTTTTGTTGTTGTAATCGTTCATTTTCTTTCCCGTCGATGCCAAGTCCCAGACGTTCGATTGCCTTTTCACCGTACACCCCATTCACTTCTTGGTAGAATCGCGATCGTTCAACACCGATATTAGGATCAAACAAATACTCCACATCTTTGTGAACTACGGGATGGCCGGCGACGTTAAATTGCAAAAGATCCTTGACCAAATTGATTGTAGCGCAGCAATTTGCAGCTAGAACGCAGAGAATCAAGGCCTACAGAAGATTTTGGAAATTTCAATTGTTTAAGGTTTACTCACCTGTCCAAGTAACATCGCGCCCTACCAGTTGAACAATAAATCACTGGCTTATTTTTAAAGGTATATACTATTGCAAACATTATTTCTTATTACCCAATATTATGTAAGAGAAAGTTTTTAATGTGTCAATATCAGAAGTATTTTAAGAATTTACTTAATACACCTTAAATTTATGTCTAATTAATTATCCTTTAAAAAGAAAAGAAGTGGGAAAAAGTAGGGTAACTTTCACTTGGAAATAACAAGTTTCACCTTGAAAATTGACTTACTCTTTCATTAACAGTAAAAGTGAGAGGCAATGTTGCGAGTAGTTTACATTTGGGTATGTAATTTTTTTGCACCAACTTCTTTTTTTAACGTACGTTTTCAGTTTTTTTCCTTATTATGCTCTTATACTTTGGCTTCGATTAGTTTAACACCGAAGGCGCCAAATTTTCAGTATTTTGAAAGGTACGTGCACGTTATATGCAATTCGTGTATAAACGACTTATTTTAGGCCTAAGTACCGATATCCGTATTACGATGAGAATGGTGTAGGACGACTGTTGTACGGATATGGAGATGACAAGCTTTATCAGTACAAAACGTTTACACCCCTGGAAGGAATCCACTAGAGATGAATGTGTTATTGCCTAATGGCATTGTTTTTACTTTCTTTATTCTGTACGTAAATCAGAGCACTTTTTAGATTGTATACTACCACTGAACCTATCTTTGTGATGTTATAAAGTGTTTGTTTCTACTTTATTAAAAAGTTAAGTTAGAAAAATGTTTTTGCTAGAGGGTGTTCAAATTTTTACTATACAAAATGTATAGTTGCCCCATCTTTTAGGTTTCTAGTTCACGTTCACAAAGTCGTACGAAGCTGGATTGAACAGCTGCAGTGGCTCATCAGCATAGGTAACGAAACACTGAGGTGCACAGTAGTGAGAGGATGCCCCCCAAGGGGGGGCCCGCGCAATTGGCAGACTGTAGGGACCATCCCGAAGCTGTCCATTGCCGTGATTAGACCCTTGTTCTGTTATAGAGCGATTGTCTGGTGGCATAGAAGTCTGCTTCCACTAGATCTCTATGTGAGAGAGCAGGCCATACTGGCATCCTTTGCGTTTTAAAACTAAGGGGTTGTTTAAATCGCAGAGGTACTGAGGTGGGCCACTCCCACATAATGCGATTGCCTATCCTACAAGGGCGATTGGACTCGCTCATTGCTCAATTCGCATTAGGGAAAAACTACCACATCTTTTTAGATGCGGAAGTGGCATTTATCCCCCCCCCCTCCGAGCTTCTTTAGCCATTTCCATAGTTTGTTAGTTGTTTGTAACAGGTTTCTAGACGTTTTCCAGAGCTTTCTAGACATTTTCTAAATCACATCAGAGGGTTCTTGTCTTTTACCAGAACATTCTTATACAGCTCAACTACGGCTTTTATGTAACTTGCAAAGGCGGAGTTCTAGTAGCACCGTAGGGCAAAGACAAAGTTTCAAGTAGCGCCTTACATAGCAGAGGGTGGCGCCATGATCCACATCCTTAATTCCTAATTTACTCAAACCGATTTAAAACATGATAACTTAGAATGAACTATTGCTACTTAACGAATGGAGTTGTGATAAATGAGTGAGCAACAAAATTTTGATTTAGAGTTGGCCTAAAAGAGAGATGTGTATAAATCGTAATTGACCTCAGTGATGAGAGTAGTTTTTATCTGTACAAGGAAACTAACAATCTAGCAAACCAATACCTACTAAATTATATTAGCCGTGATCTAAATGTCCACGGCCCTCTCTGAATCAAAATTTTGTTGCTCAACTCATATCAAATTTGAAAAATGAAGGTAGGTTCTAGGTCACGCAACATCAATGTTTGCAGATCAATATAGGGGCTACTTTGGACAGTTTTTGAGGTTTTGTCTTTTTTTTTTACCTTATTTTATTTCGAATAGAACCAGGTTTTTTTTCGTAGGTTACTACACCGTTCCGCTATGACTTGCTGAAAAAAATAGTTTTTTTTTACTGGTAGGTATATATATATTTTTTTAATTTTGAAGTGTCCGAATTTACCTACATATGTGGGGTAATTTCGGACATATATTTAAAAATGCATAAAATTGAAGTTCTACGAGTTAAAAAGTAACTTCGGGCACAAATATAAGTTTTTTAAAAAAAAAAGGTTGTTTTCACATAGAAACAAAAAATACAAAAATTCTTCAAATTATTTAACGTGTTTTATTTAAAAAAAAACATTACTATCAAAATATCAGTCAAAAACTTATTTATTATATTTTATATAACAAGTATGAAACTAAAAATCATTTTCTTACAATAAACAAAAATAAAAAACTCTTGATATATCACAAGTCATCACTCGTTTTTGGTTCAATAATAACGTTGTCTTACTGTAGAACAATCTTTGGCGCGTTAGAGAATTTATATCGTTCCCTTCGTAAAGGCACTGGATTGAGGATCTCAAAAATATCATGACCCTCAATATAGCTCTGGTCAGGAACATCCGGAAAGTGAAAGTAGGTATCTTTCTCAGTCTTTTTTTTTCTTAAAAATCGCCGTCCTGGATTTTTATCATGAGTCCTTTTAACTTTGTCACCAATTGGCGATTTTGGAATCCCATAAAATTCCGACGCCTCTCTTATGCTCTTTTTGTTAGATTTAACATCTGCTACTGCTGCTCTTAACACTTCTACCGAATAATTCTGGTAGGGGCGGCTCCCCAGTTGCCTTTTGTAACTTCGCACCATTGTCCGAAGTTACCCTTCAAAAGGTGATTTTTTTGGTTAGGACGATCTGAACAAAAACAATGGACTAATCAAAATCTACAAATTACACGAAACATTCCTAACATACAAGCTTTCCAAAAAGTGGAAAAACTACGACTCTATCATTAATAGGTTTCGGTGTACGCAAGTTACTTTTTCCACTTTTAAAAAAGTCAAAAATTGCTTACTTACGGAAACCGACGTAAAAAATCGTTGGGTGCGAAAAAAACATCCGTACTCATAAAACGTTCAAGGGCAACTGTTTCAAACACTCTCTTCTCATCAGGTGACCCCGTGAATAATTTCACTGCCACCCCATAATTTTTACATGTTAAACGGTCCCGTTGTCCGAATTTACCCGAGCTGTCCAAAGTAGCCCCGTCTTTACATAACATTCAGAACGCTATATTAGAATAGAATAGAATAGTCGCCTCACCTTCCACACCCAGCAGCAATCTTTACGACAAGTCAAGCTGTTTCGGAGGAGTACGACCACAAACACCATGACACTAGATTTTTATATATTAAGAGTAGAAGTAAGGGTTGGTCTTTGATGTTTAAAGTTAAAGTTATCTGATTGAGAAACTCCTATATGACTGCATTTGTTTTCATGGAAATTGTTAGGTAGATTTAAACAGTTTGAATGAAAAATACTCTTTTTTTTTTTTAGTTTCGCTATCGCCAAATAGATACGGGCTGCTTACACCACCTTTGGGCTGCTTACACCACCTATTCATGCAACGGCAATATTTGAGAGGTCATTCTCTTATAATTTAACGCAATGGTTTAATACACTAGATATGGACATCAGTAAGTACACTTTCAAAGCATTTAGAACTCGCATTATTTCGAAGTTGCTACGGCAATAATAATTAGAGCACTTTTGAATTTTGTTTCTATTTTACTTATCTTATTTTTAATATTTTTATTTCTTTTCTGTGATTCAATGTCTTGTAAAATCCATGTTATATATCTACGTACTAATGACCACAACATTGTCGATTAAGTGGAATCATTATGGGTTAGATGGAAGAGCAGGGGTAGACTTTCTACTCCTGAATCTCGCCCTAGGCAATGTATTTTTCGTGGCTAGCAAAAACATAATCAATAAAGACCGT